CTTTGTATCTGTTCCCAGAGCTATAATCTTTACTGATGAATATAATTTTAATGAATATTCTGCTGAGCAATACAGAATTACTAATCGTAGTAACTTAAAATACAACTTAAAATGCAATTAGTATAATGCATGTATATTAAATAATTAATTAAAAAATTTACTTGAAATTTTAAAATATTATAATATGTCGTCCTTTTATGCAGATTTACAAAATGTGTACGAAACAGTTTGTTTCATTAATATATTCTGTCGTTGAAAGATATTGCAAATTACTGCACTATTAATCATTGGAAAATTTTAACATATTAAGGAGCACATAAATTTTAAATTAAATATTCGCTTAATATTCGTTACTCAGTGTTTTCTTTACCCTTAAAGTTTCTTCTGAGACTTTGCTCTTCCAGTTGGGGGCTGTGTTGCTCTTAGTACGGGAATATTTCATTAAAAAGCCATAAATGCTTATGACAGGCAGATTTAATTTGCAATATATTTTAGCACATAACTACATTGTGAAGGAAAACACTCTGCGGCATATCCTTGCTCAACACATTATGTTATCCTTAAGCAAACATAAACACTCGGAATAAAATCGAGCATCATAAAAGCATAAAAGCGTTGGATAATAAATTTCCGCTGAGTGTTGTCGTCGCTGTAGTGTGTAAATAACTTAAATAACTGAAATAACTGAAATTTTTGCATATATTTTGTTTATATATATTTTTTTTTAATGAGAAATGTTTAGCTTTTCCCATATTTAGTGTCAACTTTTTGACATGCAGACTGTGAAGTGGAATGGGCCACTTAAGCAACGCCGCCACTCTTTGCTTTGATGTACTCCTGCTTCGAAATTTATTTCCGAATGGCAAACTTTAAAATTTTGATGTGAAACATTTTTGCATTTGACAGGTGCGAGTTTTATAGTCAATAAATTAAAAAAAAATTTTTTTTTAAATAATTTCCAAAAACTGTGCTGTAATTATCAATAAAAAATATTTTAAAAATTATAAAAACGTAAAGAGTGCAAAATTGATTTATGGCTTAATTGTTGACAAATACATTAAAAAATAAATATTTAAGCAACGACTTTCGCATATTAATGGAATATTAAATTACTTATATTAAGTTTATAGTTGGATAAAACTTAATGATGTATGATGGACGTTTCAAATGACAATAGAGCTAATCCCTTGGTATTTAAGTAAAAGTACATAAACAAAAAATCGTAGCTTCTAATAAAAAATTATATATTATATACTAGCTAATTTTTTTTATGGTATATAAAAAAGGGTTTGTTAGTTAAATATTTATGTTACCTACATAACTATTAGTATCACTAACTAAATTTATAAAAAAAGAGGTTTTTCGAACAGTAGTGAACGACAACAACAAAAATTCTTTTTTTATTGGTTGGTTGGTTACAGTAGCAGGCCATTTGGTGACTTCAAATGTACCTCAATTAGCGATTTTCGCCGTTTTGTTACCATATTCCTCGCAAGAACCCTAGCATAGAAGAGTAGAGACTAAATCCATCCCGTTGAATTTAGGTAATTTAATAGGTCTTTCATCTTCACCGTTGAGCAGTCTGACTTTTTTTATTATTTTAATTAATTAAACTTTCGAATATTGTTAAATATCTATCATTATCAGTAGTCTTAGAATTATTTTTTATATTTAATTATTTGTAAATAATTTTTTTTTAAAACTGCAAGTACAAGGAATCGAACTCGTGTCCTGCCTAATTTGAAGCTTAGAGTCAGCGTTCCTTAACCAACTAACCCAAAGCCTTTTGGGTTTTAGTTGACTTTTTGTCTTCGCACATTTTTTTTGGAGTTTTTATTAATTTGCTGTGAAACTTTTATTAACAATTTTACTTGCTGTGTTCATATAACATATATTAGAACGAAATCATAAACCAGCTGTAGAATAATTTAATTAAATAATTATATTTTTATTTTTTAATTGTTAAATTTCAATACTATTCTGTTTGTAAAGGCATTATTTGTTGCATGATTTATATATTCTTTCTTATGTATGGAACCTAATCTAGGAACGTAATACGGAAAAAGTCATGGTAATGTTACTACACGAGTCGCATGGGCGAGACCAATATTTTGCGAATATAAGTTGTAATTTAACGTTAAATTTTTCAGACGGAAGTAACTATTATATTTAATAGAAATTAGTATATTTCATAAAGAGGTTTTTCAAACAGTAGTCCACTACAACATCAAAAATTTATTAATTTATTATTTTAATTAATTGAATTCTTGGCTGATGAAATATATTTAAAATGTATAATTAGTTAATAAACTGTTAATAGAACTACATTTTAATATATAATTACACTAGCATTCATCCCTTAAATTTATATTCGTTTCATAAACATTTATCTATATAATAGTTACCATATCGTCGACGTATAAAACAGTATAAATAAAAAGCAGAAAAAAATTTGTATGTATTACTTATTATTTAAATATATAATAATATAAATTAATTATAAATTTCTATAATAAAAATGAAATTTTACAGCAACATTTTTATGATATACAAAAAAGTGCTTGCTAATAGCATTTTCATGCTCCTTAAAAATTATAACATCAATAGTAAAAACCTATAAAGGAAAAAGGTTGGTAGGGTAAAAATATTCTTAACGTTAATATATAATCTTACGAATATGCATACTTTAGGACTATTATTTACAATTCTTCGTTACTTTTATCAAAACTATAATCTGTTTAGAATAAAAAGGAGCCAAGCGTTCTGTAAATTTTAATAGAGAACTTTATTAATTGTTTGAAATAAAATACCTAATTGCCTAATTTTCCTCAATTTTTGAGGAATTCTATTTGAAAGCTGTTAGATGTCGTCGGCAAAGTAATTTAATTACAAATCGTGAAAGCTGTAGTAAATAAAGTAACGATTACACAATTATCTATTTAGTCAACATCTATGATCTAGACATCGTAACTTAAAAAATATTTCGACATTTCCTATGTACAATATTTTAAAACACCAATGCCTGTTACTTTTGGTTCATTAATATGGTGTGCTTGCGATTATTATAATTTTGGGATTAATTGTTCGATTCATGTTGAATGCAAACGTCATTAGTATGTTTTAAGATATATTTCGACAAGCTAGAAATTAGTTGCGGTCCATAAGATTCTGTATTGGAACCGATTTAACGGAATAGCCAGAAATCTATTGATGGGCTGAGTATATATGTCTACCAACACACTTTAAATCACATTTGCATTCAATATGGCAAAAGGACATATACTTAAGTTCAGAATTAACTTTTATGAATCAGTTTTCAGAACTGAATGAATTTCGGTTTTTACCTACAAAATAACAAAATCGAATTTTATAAATAAGTTTTTTTTGCTACAACTAATCAAAAGTATGTTTAACATCAAGAAATGGAAGAATATGAAAGGGTACTTTGTGCACTTAAATCGCTTTTTCACTGGCGTGGATGAGATAATGAAAACAAACTTATCGGATCTCCTTAACTTCATCTGGAAAACCAAATGGTTTAACAGGGATTACAAAGGTTAGCAACTCGCCTCTCCCGGTAAAATTTTTTGAGGGCATCACAATGGGCAATATATGCCTCCGAGTGGAAGTGCTGACCACGGTTGCCACTTGAAAATTTTTTCCTGTACCAAAATTGGTTTAAAAAGATACCATTTCTGTCCAAAACTTTTTTGGACCTTTTTATTTTTTCGTTCTGTGTTTTTCATAGTGTTATAAATTAACAAAATATAAAATAGTGCAAAGTTGCATTTATAAAACAAATTAATTGGTAATATCCACAATAAAGTTGGGTCGTCAAAACTGTACCATTTTTTAAACATGAGTACCAAACGAAAAAAAAAGTACCAATTTTGGTACTAAAGTACCATAAGTGGCAACCGTGGTACTGACAACGGTCAGCACGCGCTTTCCGAACCTAACCTAACCTTGTGTACTTAAATGCATCTTTTGTTTTTTTTTTTTGTTAATTCTAATCATTTGTCTGAGGTAAATTGATTTACAGCAGTTTAATTAATTAAAAAATTTGTAGTAATTAGTTATTTTTTTGCTTGTTAAGAAAAGTAGCATTTCATAAAAATATAGATTTATAAATACGTATAGGTTGATTTTTTTCGAATATCTCAAAAATGGATTATAAAAAAATATCCAGCAGCTAGCCAGCATTTGTAACTAACTATTTACAAGTTGGTCACTATCTTTTTATAATTAATAAAAAAAATATATGCTTGTATTTTTCTTCCGCATCTGAATGTATTTAAATAACTTCAGAAATGATGAAGTTTTGCACGTTTTTCTATCAGAGGTGATCTACCTTTCGTACTCGTAAATAAGTCACAATCCTTATATATATACTATTAAGGCCGTGTGCGAGTTCCAGTAAAATGAGGTAAAGTAAATTGAAATTTCTTAGCATTTTTTTGCACTGTACTTATATAAATATTTATTTAATTATTTACTGCATTTATTTATTATTTTTCGTGAAAGTTTTCAAATTTATTTATTTATTTATTAAACAACTTATAAAATTTTCAGAATGGTAACACTTAATTTAGCTAATTTTTATCTAATTTAGCCTACTCGAAATTCTTGCAAATACCAACATTCGCTGCCATACCGGCATAATTTACTATTTCCCTCAATTTACCATCAATTTACTCGAACTCGCACACAGCCTAAATAATACTGTAACACTATTAAAATTATGAAAATAAAAAAGAATAAAAGAAAAAATTAAAAAGGAAATATAACATATTATAATAGATTTCAATCATATGTAAATTTTTAAATTGACTAATATAAGAATAATTTTTTGTTTATATCTTTAATAATGCCTTTAACAATCAGTTTTAAAATTCACTGTAAATTTCTAGTGAAAATATTACCCCAAATTTATACTTCAATATTTTGGTTAATTTAATTTTGCAATAAACAAAATTATTTTTCTCCATTTTTATAGAATTTTCAACTTAAAGTCAATCAATCCTCACAAGTAAAGCAAATATATTCAGAAAAATGCAGGGCGTTGAAAAAATGCCAATTAAATTGAATAATTACATTGAAGCGCACAATAAACAGAAGCTTTCAAAGCATTCTTCCCCAAATAAATGAAAATATAAGGCGATCAAAAGAAAAAGGCCCACAGTATCCACATACGGAGTAGCAGTAACTCAAAGAAAAAGACTACGACGTCATAGCCAAAGGACACTATATATTTAAAACAAATGATATACCAAAAATTACTAGAACAAAACGTACCGAAATGCTATGAAGGACAACCAAAACCTTAAAAGAATAATGTAATTTATGTGCTGTTAATAAGCCAAAAGGATATATTGTGTGAAATAAAGATATATTGAAAAGGCACAAAGGAAAAATATGTTGAGATTATGAAGCGAAAAAAAATATTTTGGGTACATTAGAGAAAAAAATCTAAACACAAAAAGTGCTTCAATTGCTTTCTAAGCATCTACAAAGGATTTAAAGCAAATCAAAGTATTTTAAAAATTATAATGGATAAAAGGATAAAATGACTCTAATAAATTTATGTATATAAGCCAGCAGCACTATTAAATTTTTCAACAAATATAAAAGGTAAAAAAGTATATTTAAGTAAATTTTATTTATAACGTAATTGTATATAATTTTATGTTAAACCTAGAAGCCTCAACCTTTTCCAAACACTTAAGTGAACCAATACTGATTTGTTTCTACGCACGTAATGAAGACATTCCCTCGCACTCTTGCGCTGCATTTAAAGTTTACTAAATTGCTTCTAATTATTGTTTTCTTATTATTGAATATTGATTCCATATTATTGCCCCCAAGGCAAATACAACTACATCAAGTTAAAGCTGAAGTTTTCACTTTGGGTTATTTGACTGGATCAGAACGCAGCCCGGGTAACTTGGACTATCAACGACCAGGTATGCCTACATAAAATACAATCTAATTTCAGTCAAGCTTTTAGGTTCTCGTTAAACTATTTTTACTTTGGCTTAAGGTAAAACCATATCCGGTGCAATTTCCCTTGCCGTTTCCCAAGTTAATCAGGGAACACTACAACAGCTTGGACATAAATTGGAGTTTATTGTTGCAGAAACATTTGGTGATGAGGTGTCAAGTATACGCCAAACAGCCTCATTGTGGACTAAACAAATAGCAGCATACATTGGCCCACAGGAAACATGTGTACACGAGGGACGCATGGCTGCTGCTTTTAATTTACCTATGATATCATATGTGAGTAATATTTGTAGTAAAAGTTTGATGTTTTTTACTCAACTGAAACTTTGTTAATCTTTTATTCTTTTCCATTTCAGTACTGCACATATCGTGATACTTCCAATAAACAAAATTTTCCCACGTTTGCTCGCACCCGTCCACCGGATACCCAAATATCAAAATCGGTTGTGTCACTTTTACTTGCTTTTAACTGGACTGAGGTAATACTCGTGCAAATCATTTTATGCTTGATAGGATCAAGTAAAATAGCGTAAAAAAAACTATTTAATTAGTTTAAAAATGCAAAAGAATTACTTAAAAATATATCTACTTACATCTCTTTCATGTCTTTTGCCATTTCGGTTTATTTGTATTTGCAGGTGTCCTTTCTGTACCTTGATAATCCGAATACACTTTACAATCCTGTAGCGGATACTATTCTCAATATACTTCGAAACGCTGGAGTTAATGTGCGTGACATACAAACATGGAATACAATTTATCATCATGGTTTCATGGCCAATCCTTTCGACGAATTGGTAGACCGCACTTATGTCAATACAAGAAGTAAGTTTTTTATGAATTGTTTATATACGAGTATTTAATACTTTTAATATCCTTTAGTAATGTATTAGAGCAGTGAAATTAAAAATTTAGTTAGTTTCCTCTGTTTTTATTAATTTAAATGTAAATTACTTACATCGATACTTATATTTATGTAATAAAAATAATACATTTCAAAAAAAATATGTATATGTAATATGGTTTCAACTTTCTGAAAAGAAGTATATTGAAAGATTAAAATATTTATTTTAGATTTATAAATATTATTTTATTATATTATATATCTTTACTGCTACTAATTATATATACTATCGTAGTGTTTAAAAATTACATATTCAAAGATTACATATTCTTTGAAAATGACCACTTCCATATTTTTTATTTAATTTTCTTCAATATTTTTCAATATAATGGCCACTAGCAAATATAAAATCAATAACCATGTTTATGACCAAAATCAATAATATTCTATTGTTTGCAACCAGTGCGTTCTAACTCCCACCGGTGAGTTCTAGCCTTTGCAAAGCGTTGAGTAACTATTCATAGAAAATATTTTATTGAGGACCATGAAGAATTATCAGAAATATATTAATATAATATATTAATCCTCATAAGATTCTCAAAGAAAATTAATTACTTAAAATGATACTGGTAGTTTTTAAATAAAAAAAAAACGTATCATAATACATCTTGAAACAAGAGCCCTAGGCGGTCTAGGTGGAGTCTTGCACACCCAGTTTTTAAAATGTAAACTATTACAATGGCCAATTTACCGTCGTACCGTTTACATTATTACTAAGTATGTGAATCAGTTAAGGATTCATAGATTAGAACTCTAGAAATATTCTTAAAGATACTAAAAGTTTTTTATTTGTGTTAAAAGTAATTAAAATTTTGAATATCCGAATATGAAAATCACTTACAAAAATATGAAACTGACACCTAAATACAATGTAAGTCGTACAGAAGATAGCAGATGTGATTAGAAACCTTATGAACTGAAAGGCAGTTATGTTGAATGAAGAAAAACGATTTGTAAATTAAATACTCGAAAGGCAAATCGAATGGTGGATCCATCAATACTAAAATGATAGACTCATATTAATACGATAAAGATCTACATTTGGTGCACCATGAATTATTGGAAAGAAAAAATTGTCACTGAAGATCGCTACCGAGTCTTCTTATACTTATAGAATAAAGTTAACCGAGTCAACTTATACAATTAAATCAAGATTTAGATGGAAAAACGATAGCAATTTGAAAATAGATACGTCATGGTAGTACATATATTGCTAACAATTCTTTTGGAATAAGTTACTGTAAATTTATTCCACAATTATTGTATTCGCCAGACATTTCCCTATTTTTCTATTTTTTTTATTTTTTTAGTTGTTATTTATTTAGTTGTTAGTAGATAGGTTTCGAAAAGTAGTGAACTATAACAACAAATATTATTTTTATATTATTTTAATTAATTGAATTTTTGGCTGACCATACAGCTGTTTCGAGTATTGCCAAATACTCATCTTCAGTGGTCTTAGAATTATTTCTTGTATTTAATTATTCGTAAATAATTTTTTTAAGACTGCAAGTACCAGGAATCGAACTCGTACCCTGCCAAATTTGAAGCTCAGAGTCAGCGTTCATTACTCAACTGGCCCAAAACAGTAAATTCACTTGCTGTGTTGTATAAGAACGAAATCATAAACCAGCTGTAGAATAATTAAATTAATTAATAATATTTTTTTTTATTTTTAATTGTTAAATTTCAATATTATTCTGTTTGTAAAGACATTATTTGGTGCATATTTTTATATTAGACCTATGTATTTAACCTAATCTAGAAACGTTATATGGAGAAAGTTATGCTAATATTACTCCTTATTACTAACGTTTAGTTCTTAGTACTTTTTTTATAATTGAAAACAGTTGGTAGTGGTAATTTCGATTTATTATTCAAACATGAATTCTAAATTAAATTTAAAAGTTTGGTAAGAACAAAAGTAATAAGATATTGTTAGGCGCGATCTCGACAAAGCTAATATTTCTTTTATTATGGAACGATTATTTTTTTCAGTACCGCACTCCTTTATAACCATTCCAAGCTCAGCACCGTAGTTACTTTATGGGGTTCATTTTTTGAAGTACATACGGAACTTTAAGCAAAAAAGTAGTATAATTATTCATAAAATAATTAACTTATCGGTTTATAATCATCATCTTGAACATGTAATTACTTACCCATTTTAATGGCAGCAACAGCACAAGCAAAAAAAATGAAGTTCTTTCCTATGGCACTATAAGCACGCCTCTTATCCTCCCCAGGGTCCATAAAGATGGGTGGACGATACATTTTAATTTACCTAAATTATGCAATTATAATTATTGATTGGCATTTGATATTAACTTAGTTATAGTTTTAAAAAAAAGCTAATCTAAGACTCACAGTTTGTTCACAAAAAAAAAACAAAATAAGTAGAGCTTAAAATTTTGTACTAACTCTAATAAAAAACAAAAATTTTATTTAATTTGATAAATTTTTTCCTTAATATTGTGATTTATATTCAAGTTACAATTTTTTGACAAATTTCTCAATGTTAAATAAATTTATTTTTCAAGCAAAATTATTTAAATTTAAATATAATTTTAGTGTGTAAACCACAAACTGATTTCAAATTCATTTTTTCATCCTTTAACTTCAGTTTACCTCATATTGGGTCACTATTATGAACATATCGGCCTCATGGTCAGCCTTCAGCGAAAAGGTTTACTTGCCAAAGGCGAATACTTTGTTGTCGGAATCGATATCGAACAATATGATCCCTCGTCGCCAGATAAATATTTTCGTGGTTTATTGCTGGAGAAAATCGATAAAAATGCCGAGTTAGCATTCCGGTCGTATCTGGGGATTTATCCTACAGCACCGGTGTCGTTTGAACAATTCGCTAAGGAGGTGAGTATCTATGCGTGAAAATAGCTTGGCTACGGACTTAATGCGTTGCTTTAATAGGATTTGTTTTGCTTAAGTTGAGTACTTTTTTAAATTTGTTTTTCTTTTTTGTTTGTCTTATAAGATTTGAAGCGATTACGAGGGGTGACACTACATCTGCTCAGTAGTTAATTGAGTTGTTTGATTTTTTCGTATTAAATTTGGGGGTAAATTTATTATATTTACTTTCATGGAAACTGCTGCGATTGATAACAGAGTTTAAATAGGATTTCTGTTAAGAATAGGTAATGTCGAAAAGCTTTTAAAGAATTTTTATTATTTTTTATTCAACAAAGAAAAATTTGCTCAATAAAAACAAATTAGTACTGTTTAGGGTAATTATGTGAATTAAAAAAAAAAAATATATAAATAAACAGTATAAACAGTTGATTTTAATATATATAATTATTTATTGTATATTTAAAATATAATAAAATTAAAAATAATAACAAAAATTTGATTATTGTGTTAAAATAACATTTGCAATAATTTTAAACCGAAAAGAGAACGCCAAAGTCGGTCCAAAATCAAGGTTATGCAGACTGTTTTCTTCGATACTCGTGGTGTGGTGCACTATGAATTCCTTCCGGGCAGTCAAACGGTCAATAAGACCATTCACAAAAAGAGCCCAGATTTATGGAAGGAAAAGTCATGGATTTTACACCACGATAACGCACCGACTTACACGGCGTTGGTTGTGTCGCAGTTTTTGGCCAAAAACTCCACCAATATCATCAACCAAGCACCGTACTCTCCAGATATGGCCCCGTGTGACTTTTTCCTCTTCCCCCGACTCAAATTGCCATTGCGAGGAACGCGTTTTGAGAAAATAGAGGCCATAAAAGAGAATTCGCTGCGTGAACTAAAGGCCATACCTTCGGCGGCCTATAAAACTTGTATGGAAATTTGGATCAAGCCTTGGCATGCATGTATTGCCGCAGGAGGAGAGTACTTTGAAGGCGATAATAAAGAAAATTATTAAAAATTAAAATTTTACGTTTTTTTTAAATTCTCATTCTTTTTTGATCATAAGGTATAAGTAGTAATGTTAGAAATCTAACAATAATAGAAATTAGAACGTTTCACATAGCAATGAATGCTCTCAATAATTCTTAGAGCTTATTTTAAACGATCGAATTATATTATTTGTCACTTCTGACGGAGATTCCTGCCTTTACCATCCATAAATTTAATTGATATTTTCTTTTGACACTTAGAAATGTATGACGACGATCTCAGCATCAATGATTCATAAGTTTAGTTTGTATTGACAGTACCGAATATCTTGCGTTCAATTACTTTTTTATTCACCAATATAATTTTATCGACCTTGGTATGTCTTATCCATTTTTATTTCGTACCGAAAAACTCTTAAAAACTCGCAAAAGCCATCACAAATAATTTACATTGAACTTTATCAGTTGCGATTATCCCAGTTCTTCCCCTAAACTGACAGTTTGGCTTCTATTTACCTTCGCAATATGTTGTGTGGACAATCAAGTTTTCCGATAACTTAAGTATTATATTCCAGAATTTTTTAGTGATATCTTCAGCCACTCTGGAAAGAATGAGCTCAATACACTTCTTTTTCCAAATCATTATTTCCATTTTAAATGAAGATTGTTTAGTATTCAGCCATAACTCGATCTGTTATATGAATCAAAAACTGAGATTGAGAAAATTCTTATTATAATTCAGTGCTCGCTGTTATGATGAAGTGGAGTTTTAATGATGGTTGGTTGGTTGCAGTGGCAGGTCATAAGATAACTTCAAATGTACCTCAATTAGCGATTTTTCGCCGTTTTGTTACCACATTCCTCGCAAGAACCCTAGTATAGAAGAGTAGAGACTAAATCCATCCCACCGAATTTAGGTAATTTAACAGGTCTTTCATCCTTACCATTGAGCAGTCTGATAAACTATCACAAAAGTATTTTCCTAAAAACCTATATCTTCTGGATGCTAGAGCTGGGCATTCACAGAGAAAATGTATTATTGTTTCTTTCTCCCGCGGGTTTCCACAACTTCTGCAGTGAGAGTTATGGGGAATACGCAGTTTCTCTGCGTGAGTTCCTAACCACCAATGACCGGTAAGAACCGCAATAAGCCTTGCAGTGTTTACGCGATCTTTTTTGATGAGTTCCAGAGATTTATTTTTATTATAAGTGGGCCACGTTAACCTGGAAGTTGCACATGACCTTAGTGCTTTCCATCTGTTATTGGCGAGTTGCAGAAAGTAAAGAAAGGTACTTCTTTTGATGGTCTCCAGGGTAATATAGACTGATACCGCCAGTGACGCATCTAGGGAGGCACCAGAGCGGGCTAAACTATCAGCTTTCTCATTCCCTACGATGTTCCTATGCCCAGGAACCCAGATGAGTGTGATATCGGCCAACCGGTTTAGCTCGTCGATTGCTTCTCTACATTCTTTTACTATTTTTGATTTTGTTATAAAGGATTCAAGAGCTTTAATTGCTGCCTGGCTGTCAATATAAAAATAGCAACACTAGTTTTAATGATAGTGCTTAATGATTTGATTTCCATACTTTATGAAAATTTCTGATTTTATATGGAAACATACTTTACCATGTATTATATAGAAGTACTAAAACATTTTTTTAGTATAATTGAGATGGAAACAAATGTGGATTATGTACTGTTCAGCTTGATTTTTTGCATTCTGGCTCAAGGTTGTGTATTTTAATGTCTATCGACAATTTCTTTTGTACCTGTTGTAGATATATCATTACCCGTATTCTTTAGCAATGTCGTAACAGTAATACAATAGCGTTTGGTAAACAAATGGAAAATAATCGGATAGAATCTTGACCGAAACTTAAATGAACAACAATTTTGCCAAAAATAGACATTATGCTAAAAACTATGTTGCATTCTCTACTTCTCTTTATTGAAAATGGTTTAATTCATTGAATATAAATATTTCTAACCAATGTTTCATAATTGAAATAATGCTTGTTTCATTCTATTTCTCTAAATATACTTCATTTTGTCTCCAACTCTACATTATATATATACATATATATTAGTCTCTAATTCTTTATACGCTCTTAAATTATATATTCGAGAAGACTTTTTGTATGGCAGCCGGTTTTCAAACGGTGGAATTTCAATTTGTATTTAATTCCTATTACACGTCTTTTACGTATTTGACCCAAAATTTCTTAAATTACTATTTAAAATTAGAATAATAATGATGGGTAATTAATTGAAAAGAATTTCAGTTATTATTATCATTATTATTATTAATTAAGTGGGGAATACCATTACCCTGCGATTCAGATAGTCTTCTGTACTCGCATTAGAATAATACCCAATAGAATAAAACCGAAGTGAATTAAACGTAAGCACCTTTATTTCACGTTTTTCATAATATATTGTTTCATTTGTTTATGGGAAGTAAAAACTCTATTCTCCAGATCGATAAATGTGCCGGTACTCAATTTAAGCCGTTCACATTAAAAGTGTTTAGAGATCAAAAATGGTTATTTAACAAAAATGGCACATGCTAGGCTCTAAAACACTCATTTTGTTAAAATGGAACCTATATTCAGTGTTCTGTTAAAATCTTAATATCATCTCTGTTCAGTATACAAACATTATTAGGAGACTGCCTTTAGATGGGTTAATAAATCTCTTGGCCCGTCTTTGGCCAATGTTTTAATAAATCATTTATTAATTACTTTAATTGCAATTTCAAAAATTACTAATATATTTTTTAGACCAATTCGAATTATAAAATAAATGAATAAACCCATACGAATTAAACATCCATTTTTCAAAATCATAAATAATTCTTTAGTAGATTTACCAACTACAATTAATATTTCTTCTTGATGAAATTTTGAATCTTTATTAGAATTATGTTTAATCATTCAAATTTTAAGTGGATTAGTGAAATATAATTCTTCTTCATTCCATTGTGTTCAGAGGGTTTTTACAGTTGTATCTAATGATAAGATTCTGTTTAAACATGAGTTTCGCACCTCCAAATCCGTTGTGCATGCTGCCGAAGTATGTGGATTCGCCGTATATGTATAAGTACCACTTGGTGACTGTGATTCCATCGGGTTGAGACTCATATTTTATTTCCAGAAAATAGTTAAAGAAAGGAGCAAAGCACTGACGATGGATTATAAGCGCAATGTCAGTCCTTTAAAATAGGCCGCTCCTAACCTGGAGAACCTTTTGCAGCCGCTCATTATGAGTACCAACGCTACCTTGTGGACTGCGCTTAGATTCATTACTTTTCATTCGACCTTACCGGCAAGGAAGGTAGCATGCCCTACTTTAGCATGCTACCGCCGGCATCACTCGAAGATTCTACGTAACTACTGAGTCTCCTCATCCCGTGAAGGTGGCAGTCCTTTTTATTCATTTATATATTTGTGAGTTAACATTAAAATTAATTTGAAAGTTAACTAAGAATAAGGAACTGGATTGCTAGGTCCTTCCCCTGATAATTATATTAATTAAAAATATTTAAACTTAAGAAAATTATTTTATCTGCTTTACGGAGAAGTCTCAAATAAGCAGTACTTTTCTCGTATTTTTATTTATTGATATTAGTTTCTCAAAGTTTATAAGTTGATGTCCTCAAATGGCTACAAAGTTTCAAATTGAAACGGAAATGAGAATTGTGTCGGATATGTGGAGACTTCCTTGTCATTTTGAAATAACTACGTCACCTGAAAAAACAAAAATAAAAAGCAGAAGCGATTAAAGTAATAACGTCAGAATGATGACCCAGAGTACAGATGCACAACTTCGCTTTCCACATCATCAAGAAAAGGACATTTGTTAATATTTCTATTTTTTAGCTTGTTTTCTTGTTTGTTGTGGTTCGGGGAAAATGATTGATGTGCAAATGTTTTTCAAACTAAAAAACCAGCCACACTCGTCGTATTGGTAATTTTATTTGTTTTTTGTGTGAAAATATCTCAACACACCACAATCTTTTAAAATGAAAATAAACGCCTTTGTGCCACCGAAAATGGTTAAATGTACAAATAATGACGCAATAACAATTTCATGTCACAAAAGTTTAAAGACTCATGAACAATTTAAAGCAATAAAAAGGAACTTAAATTGCATGTCCTTAAATTGTATAAAATTTTATTTTATTTTGTTTTTGTATTAAAAAAAAAAATTTTATTTTTTTTTTTCATTTAAGGTAAATAGATACATGGAACAACCGCCATTTAATTTTCCCAATCCACTCGGCTATTTTGGAGGCTCCAAGCAGGTTGGTCATAAAACAAGATATTTTTTCTAATAGATACAAGAACAATCTAAAATTTTTGTGTTTTTTGTCAGTGTAAGAAAATATTACATAGACTGGAAACTTTCGTACTGCGTTTAATTTTGCTTAAACTAAGAGATATTTTGATAAAGGTTCCTATTTTTTGTGTTGATGTTTTTCACACTTAGTTTTCTTTTTTTTTGTTTATGTGAAAACGTGAAAATGCTTGCCTTACTCATGATTTTCATACCAAATTTTTTTTTGTTTGGTCCTAGATAAGCGCTGAAGCTGCATATCTCTACGATGCTGTTCATTTGTATGCAAATGCCTTAATAAAAGTTCTTGAATTAGGAGGCAAACCCAAAAATGGCACCGCCATTATTGCGGCCATAAAAGGGTCTAAATACTTAAGCGCAATGGGGTGAGTATTCAATTTAATAAAATAAATAAATATGCGTAAAAATATAAAAATTTATTTTAGTTAAAATATATGTATTATCTTATCAAGAGATTTTTTATTTTTTTTAGGTTTAATTAATAAAATTAAATGAAAATAATTAAATATATTTTTCAAGATAGAGTTTTGAATCGCAAATTAAAAATTTTTTAAATTAAAAATAAAGCAGCAGTGTATTTTAACAACAACATTTTATTATTTATTAAATAATTAATTTTTAGCTGACCATGTTTTGTATTTAGGAATATGAATAGGAATAAACGGGGTACTAGCTCCTAACGGAGCGGAGCACTGCGACCATGATTTTGCGCTGCAACAGACCTTAATCGAACAGAAGACATTCTCCGCCTTCTGAATGATGGCCAGAATGTCGGTCATTAAGGACCTCCTAATGTCAGACGGGGAGAGTAGTTCTCGGCCCAGTGACCTCCTCTTTGCCCAGATCAAGGCTGGGCAGTCACAGAGAATGTGACTGGAAGTCTCGTCTGCTTCTATGCAGGGTCGACAATCTTGTATTTAATTATGCGTAAATAATTTTTTAAACTTTAAAAAATTCAAATTATCTTTTTATTAAAACAAAATAATCTCTATAAAGAAACATAGAAACAAAAAATAGTTTAATTTGTCATAATTGACCTTTTTTGTGGTGAGGACTTAACAGTTATTCACCCTCGCTTTCGCATTACTTCGAAAAGGGGCTCTTTTATGTTGGCATTTCAAGCCATGCTGTTGTTATTTACGATCTACGTCCAGACCTCCACTTTTTCACCGCATTTTCTTGGTGTCTGCACTATTCTTCACATTCTAGTTTCAGCTTATCCTTTCTAGGTCTAATTTCTTCTGGTTTGAAGTCTTGAATTACATATGAATCTATCGTTTGCCAGCTCTTTGGATTCGCTCTCATCGTTTCCACTATATTTTCGGGATTTATTGCTCCAATCTGTGTTATTACCTCTTCTCTAAATGTGAGTCACAGTCACAGTAAAAGAAGATGTGATCTGCGTTGTCACAGTCTACGTCGCCATAAATGCAGTCGGTTAGATCCGCCTTACTCATGTCGTACAGGTACTTACAAAAGTATTTATGTCCGATTGGCACAGATTTAGAATGGAAGTGTTTATAAATGACGAGTGACTGTTATATGAGACTACATCTTGATCTTATTTGGGCAAGGACAGTTCATTCTGAAATTGTTGTGTATTTATTATTGGATTTTTAATATCATGACTTTCTTATTCCCACGAAAATTGAGTATTCCAATTGCTTTTACGTAGCACTTATCATTTGCTTAAATTCATGCGATTTTTAATGTATAGGTGTATACGATAGTGGTTTTAGAATTCCAACTATCGTTAAAATATTTCTAATCATTCTACACTAGATACAACAGATACTTTTGAATTATATGTTTGCAAATGCACTTTGAATCAGTTTTTTAAATTTAAAAATAGGTCTCCTCTTACGCTACTGCTTTATATGCGGACAAATAGAATCCTTTCCTTTGACAAATAGAATCAAAATAGGACATATATAGTAAAATAAATTAGTGTTCAATCTTAAAATTGAGGTGCTTCATTTTAGGATATTGATTACATTTAATAAATTAGGAAAAAATAATAGATATTATAAACATTTTCTCCTTGGGGAGGTATGCAGATCTGAGGTCAATTATTGCTTAGTCTGATGAAGTGATTAACAATAACCCAATCATGGCGTAGCGAGGGGTTATGAAGAAACCTCGCAGTTAATAAAGAGTAAAAGTGCTCAAGTGCACTGACTCAGCTAGCCTCAACATAATAATATAAACATTTCATTTTTAATGTATTTTTTTTTATTGTGTAAGTGATATTTCTTTCTTATATGCCAAGAATTCTGCTTTCTCAAATGAGATATGGAATTAATACACATATTAATAAGTCAAGAACCTTTTCAGTTACCATGTCTATGTCGATGAAAATGGTGATGCAGCTGGAAATTATACAGTATTAGCGCATGGACTAGCGCGCAATCATAAAAACATGACCACTCCCGGTCTGGTACCGGTAGGAACTTTTAGTCAGTCACAAACTGATAAATTGCCTGTAAGTATAACCTTATATGGTATTCTCAACTCATATGTATGTTTATGTAAATAAAACAATTTTTTTATCATTGCACCGCTTTGTACTATGTAAACGTGACTAATCATTCTCATAAACACACATCTAAACACCCTGTAAAGTGTTACTTGCAGGTGAGCAGTTTTTCAAATTATATTTTCCAAATTTTAATTATTTGTACATTAAATAATTTACATCATAGCGTATCCTTGTGCTCGTATGTCATTTGTGTTTTGCACTCAAATTTTATTCTTTGCGAATATTTCGTAAAACTTTTTACATTTTCAATTTGCAGGATCTCAATTTATATGGCAAGATTCAGTGGGTTGGCGGTAGGCGCCCCGCAGCCGAGCCAAAATGTGGTTTTGCGGGTGAAAAGTGTATCAGTGAGTTTGGAACCTTTCATTTGGATGTTTAATTATTAAAACTTTTGGAAGTCAACCGTTTTTGTAATTAAATATTTTATTATTCCGCAGGTTACACTGGTGAAATTTCAGCAGGTATTGCCGGTGGCGCCTTGTTGCTCTTGGGTATCGTTTCATTGGTTTTATATCGAAATTGGCGTTATGAACAGGAACTTGATAGTTTGCTGTGGAAGATTGATTTTCGGGAAGTACAAATGCATGAAAATGAGAAGGAAACTACAAATCAAAAGCAAACTAGAGTAAGTTTTATGATTTTAGATTTTTAATAAATGCTTTATGAATGACAATTTTAAAACGTGAATTTCGAGCGGATCAAATTTTTTATAATGATTGATTAAATTTGTAATAGTAATTCAAATTATATATAGAATTATATATAGAATTCAATATTTTTTAAAATCTTTAAACTCACTCTGTGATCTAACAGATAATCATTCGTTTGAAAGTTGATAGGGTTCAATGCTTGGACTAAAAAATTTATTGTCAAATTATGTACGACTACTTAAAATCAATAAATATAACCATAGACTTAATAACGGATTAATAGATATAAGACAATATCTATAACACAGGTATAAAAACACAATTTTCTACAAACAATGATTTTCAAACTTCATAAAACAACCATTCACAATGTCTTAATCACTGTTAACTTATAACTTAACTTATATAGCTGTGGTTTATGCTTTAGTAAGGTGTAAGGTTTATGTGTAAATAAACAACAATATTTTGAGACCCTACATTTGAATAACGCGAATTAAGTGCACGTTGGCTTTATATGTTAACACACTACTCCATTGTTTAAAATTTGATAGGATTCTATTCCTATAATTAAATCAATATATGTTTCGAAGAACTACTGATAATAGATATTTGCCGTTATCCAAAACAGTTGTATGGTCAGCGCAATAATTGAACTGATTAAAAATAAAAATTTTTTTGGTTTGAAAATTTCCCTTTCCTATTTAAAGTAGTTTTTTTATCATAGGACAAAAACTATTTTCAACTAAATATAAAATGTATATATCAGGTTAACTAAAAGGAAAACAGAAAAAACAAATTTAAGTTAACATGCTATTTTGTTTTTCGATCTGCATCCAGACTTTTAGGTTTAATTTCTTTGCTTTGAGGAACGAAATCAAATATGACTCTATCGTTCGCCAGCTCACTGGGTCCGCTCTTATTTTTTCCACTATATTTCATTTAGTGGATTTATTGGTCCAATCTGGGCTATTATCTCTTCTCTAAATGTAAGCCACCTAATACAGTAAAAGTCATACAGTCATCACAGTCCACGTCGCCATAAATGCAGTTAGGTAGATCTACCTTTTCCATGCAATACAGCCATGGAAATATCAATCGGAATAACGCTTGCTATTACAAAAACTGCTTCCGCCGAGACAGCGCGATATGCTAATGTGATACATAGTGCCGCCCTTCTATGCGCCGCTATTATTTCTTTTCTGCGTGTTGCAGTGTCTAGTGCGTTAGCCTACATTTCGCTGCAATATAGAAGTATGTTTACTGTTGCAATCAGCGATTTCCGTTTTTCCTCAATGGGGTCTCCTGTTTTAGTCATAAGTTTGCTCAAAGAGGCAACGTCCAAAACGTTAGTTTCCCATCGAGTCTTATTCCAAGATAATTAATCGTTTTTTAGGTCCTCAGACTATCATTATTTACTCGCATCTCTATTTCTGTATTTTTTTGTATACCATATTGTATAATAATACATTATATTTATATTATTTTCTTTTTATATAATTTTGTTCAATTGTCATGATTAGTTATGATGTAAACATTTTTATTAAACATAATTCATTCAAATATTAACTTCAAAAACCCTAATTGAAGTACACAAAACTCATATTTCCGAATGGATTAAAATTGTTTCAAACAAAAGAAATTTTCCGCAGATTTGAACGTTACCATGAGAACATGGAAATTAAATTCCATATTCAATTCGAAAAGTTTCAACATTTTAATAACTTCTCTTACCTCTCTAGTTTTGCACAATTGTACCTTCGGCTGGAATAAATACATTTTTATGTCTATCTTAACTTCACAAAAGCTTTAGAGTTTTATGCAGAACATAATCATTACAAAATATACACCACAAATCATTCTAATAAGCTTGAAAAAGAAAATCTAAGAAGCCTCCAAACCACAGGAGCGACAGTTAATACAGACAGACATGCAACAAAACAAATAAGGAATTCATTTTTTAATGCCACATTTAAGGACTCTGTTAAAAAAAGTTCCCTGCGAAGGACTTACTTCCTTTTCAATACACAACATTTTAGTCATTCGTTATTAAATACTTTTTTTTTATTCTCTTACATAGTCGACACATCCTTTGATACGCACGAGCCAAGTTAGTCTGAGTTCGAATCCTGATGCAGACTTCCGTTACACAACTATTTTTACGCCCATCGGCCTGTACAAGGGTCAATTGTACGCTATTAAGAAAGTGCGCAAGAAATGCGTTGATATCACACGCGAAATGAAAAAGGAATTAAAATTGGTGAGTAAAAAACACAAAAAGGAAGAAATCAGGAAATTCCTTAATGGGGAAACAGAAGTTCGGAATGCTTTAATCAGTGCCTTTGTATATAAGAACTGGGATTTAATATTATTAGTATTAAGTTCTTGAAGTATTTAATACATTCTTGTAATTTATTCTTTACTTAGTAATCAAATTATTAAAAATTTAAAAAAAAAATCACATTAGAAACAAACCAGGGTTATACATTTTATATTAAATTAAAGGAATTATATTAAATTCTTAAAAGATACAATATTTAATTAATTTAAACTATGTACCATATATGGACAGCTCTTGACAAATCTTCATACTGTTCGGTACTTAACAAGGTGCAGTGCAGAGCTGAAGTCTGTAGCAGTGAGGCTACAGACTTCACACCATCTATTGCACTAGATCTAATGCTTCATTTACTGTTACTAGATATCATTAGTAAACAAATTGCCGCTTCATCTGCTCTTAGACTCAAAGCTCCAGAGGCTATGGACATGCGTCCATTATTAGTCTCTTCAATTTTACTCCTAACAAAATTGACTACATCTCTCCCATTCTCAATTTCCACGGAACATTCAATGTCGAATTTCCATCTAGAGATTATGGACGTCAGCTTGTCTCTCTTTAGGCAAGGGTTTAACCATTTTTACTGACGGATCCAAAACAAGTAGTGATGTAGACAGTGGAGTTTTCTCAGAGGAACTGAATTAGTCTTCTTACTACAAGGCTACGCATCATTGTAGGATCAATTTACATCTAGGACGGTTTCTGACTGCTACGAGATGTCGGCGTAGCTCAATATTTCTCTAATCTGAGTTCCCGGTCATAAAAACATTTTCGGCAATCGAAGAGCAGACACTCTAGCCAGAAAGGGTGGTTCAGGACCTCACTCGGAACACCTAAGCAATCTGTGGATATTGTTAACATGATGCAAATTGTTACCGAGTTCTTTCTGTACTGAACTTTTTAATAAAGAATGGGAAGATTCAACGATATGTAGGGAACTGTATGCAATTTGGCTACTCCGTAGAGATATCAGTCTCATGGTAGGTTTACTGTAGATGACAGGCCACTGTAGATTCGGAAACCATGCTAGAAGATTGAATCTCCCAATCAATCAAACTTGTCCCAGTTGTGAGGAATACAATGAAAGTGCCTCCCATCTACTCTGTGTTTGCACAGCTCCTGCACGGCGGCGACTCAATACTTTAGGAGCCTCGTTTCTTGACGATCTTAATCAATTACAAAACTTCCCACTGAACAGCATTCTAAGCTTCATCAGAGAATCTAGGTGGTTTTAAACCCTGAGTTTCCTTTATATACGGTAACACAATGAACCAATAGGCCTTTGTGGATCTCCTAGGGATCTCCTTTATAACCTAACTTTACCTAGAATGTGGGAAGGGCTGAAAAGAAACAGTTTTTGTAATTATATTAATATTTATTTATTTATTCATTCATAAAAATTGAAAAGCAAAATAAAAATTGTGGAATCATCACTAAAGTTCTTTTCAATCCTAACATCATTACCTAAAATTTAAAAAATAAATTAAGTTTTAGTAATGTGGTTTTCAGTGATATGCTTTCGCGTACTATCCATAATATTTAGCGGGAAGTGTTATTTTATTTATATTTAAAATTATTTTATAAAATTTTTATAAGTGTAACATATAATTAAGATTTTTCTTAATAAAGGTTATACTTGTAATAATTAATTGTGAGTAAATTTTTTATATTTTTAAAGTTAATTATTTTTAGTTTATATTTTTAAAGACAATTTTATTTTATATCAAGTTTTGTTGATAAAGAGAAAAATATTTTAAATAAATATATTTTTTTATGTCTTTAATATTTTCCATGATTTATTTAAGCTTCGGGACGCTCGCCATGACAACATTTGTGCATTTATTGGTGCCTGCACCGATCCACCGAACATTTGCGTCATCACCGAGTACTGCACACGGGGAAGCTTAAAGGTAAAATAATAAAATCGTGTTTAAGTGGAGGAAATTTTTTATCTTTAATATTTTTTAAAATATATTTTTTAATTTATTTGATTTACTTAAAGTAAAGTTTATGTTGCTGTGAAACAAACACTTAACTTAAACAATTTAAATAAAATGCAATCAAAATTTTACCACTCTCACCTCTTCTATTTTTCTTACAAATCCCACAAGGACATACTCGAGAATGAGGATGTTAAATTGGACAACATGTTTATCGCTTCAATGGTAGCTGATATTATTCGTGTAAGTTAATCGAAAAGTGCTTTCAGAATAGGTTTTTTACTCATACATTCATCCAGATACAAATGTATTTATTGTATCTTTATTATGCCTTAAATGGGAACAATCGAATTTTTTGTTGTTAACATTTTCCATACCAAAAATTATTTTACTTTTTGAATGCTTGTCAATGCATGAATTACATTTTATTTGTTGTTTATTCTGCAGGGCGTCATTTACTTACACGAATCTCCCATTCGATTTCATGGATCACTTTGTACTTCAAATTGCCTCGTCGATTCACGCTGGGTCGTTAAACTCACCGATTTTGGTTTGTTCGCCTTTAAGAAAGGCAGCGAGGACAACTCAACGGATATGCAGACCATGATTGCCAAGTGTACAAGTGAGTTTAATTTATTTGAAAATAATTTGTAAATTAATTGAGAAATAAAAATTAATTAACATTGAAGGAAACTGAACATTAAAAGAATAATTTTGAAAAAATTCTAATAACAATAAAAACAAGGCAAAGGGCTCCTTGTACATTACAATTATTATAATTGTGTTTATTATGAAATTTACTTCAAAGGGTAAATTAATTTTATAAAAATTATATATATTATATATTATTATATGTGGTATTGCATATCATAGTTACTTTTAAAAACACAAGTAAAGAAAGCTAAAATTTGCTAAATATTTAATATTAAAAATGTTGGTAATTATTAATTGCTAGTTGCTGTCTGAATTTCCTTTTAAGAACCCTAAATTTTGATTAAAGCCCGTTCACATATCAAAACTTAATTGCGGTAGCTAGATTAAGATAACATCGCCATTTATACGACATTTTTGCTGATTTAATTATCAATTAGTAGTTGACATCAAAACATAAAAGTAGTTTTAAAGTCGGTTTTGTTTTTTGGGATTAAAGATTTTTAGGATAATATTAGGAATTCTCCTGATAAAACCAAAAGCAAATTTGCCGAAATACGTATAGGAATATACAAAAAAGTTAAAAAAGTTAGTTGATCGAAATAAAAGTTAAACAACTCAAAAAATTTTAAACAAAATTACATAAAAGTAGTATTAAAGTACACAGCCCACTAATACATACATACAAAATAGCTAACTAATTTCGAAAGCCCACAATAAAAAAATCTATTACTAAAACTATATTTTAGTAACTATCTTTAAGTAATCGGTTTAAAAACAGAAAGATACGTATAATTAAAATAAGAGGTTAATTCAAACAAGCAGTTAATGAAGATTAACTCATGCTGTGTGAATAGACTATTATTTAAAAAAAAAGATAAACCAATATAAGCTATCAAATATAATTTATATTAAATATATGGCAGTATCCGAAACTGTTGTCTTAAAATTTTATCGCAATAAATTAAATTAAATAATTATAAAAAAAAATATTTATAAAAATTTTTAATTTTCAACTTTTAGTAAAATCATCTATTTTAACTATGGTCATTAATTAATTTTCTTAGTTTTATTAAAATTAGAATTCATCCCTACTTTTTTGATACAGTAGGATAACTAAATCTTCAAATTGGAAATTATCTATAATGTCTGTTTGTTTTAGCTGCTTAGTCCCAAAGACAAATACTTTAGGTCTACATTGGTATAATGATTGTTTTATATATAATTGAGGATTTTATTTTCTAAAAATGATTGAGGCTGAGCACAAAACATAGCATAAAATTTCAATAAAAAAAAAAAGAGTAATAACAACATGTTATATATTATATATTATATTATATAAACCGGTTATGATCATATTTTTAGTATGTAAATATTCCTTATTCAGCAGCGTTTCTTAACGAAATGGATACGAGTATCAATTAGTAGAGTGATAAGAGTTTGGTCACCATCTGCTTCTGGTTGGGAATTCCTAGTAAAATTAAATGCCAAGTAAACATACCTGTCATTTTATAGAACAATTTGTATCTCAATTATATGCTTCGAGTTAATTTAAAAGGATTCATTTAAATACTCTATTTATCGATCCAATTCCGCACTTTCAGCAGATGGTCTTGTATATTTCACGTTTAGCTTAATTATTAGCATAAATGAATAGTTGTAACTATTTTTAATATATTTTTATTTCCAAAATGACAATTAACATAACTTGGTATATTACTTTGAAATATTTCCAAAATTTTAATAAATAAATAATATAAATAAAAATAAATACCAATATTAATACCGAATCGGTACTAAAAAATTTAGTTTATAAATTGCGCACAAAAAAACAAGAATATTTTTTTCTCTACCAGCTAAAAGCAATTCCGGACATTACTTTAATATATTATTTATTAAACTATTAAAAAATAAATAAACACATAAATTAATACAAAAATACACAAATAAATAAAAATTACAAAAATAAATAAATAATAAATTAAATAAATAAGGAAATGTGTAAAGAAATAAACAAGCAAATAAATAACTAAATATTGAAATAAATAATAAACTTAAATAATTAAATATAAATTGATATAAATAATAAATAAATATAAATAATTAAATATAAATAAATATTTATTCATAAATATAAAAAAAATAATACTAATAAATAAATATGAAAAAATAAATATAAATAAATAAATATTAATAAATAATTATAAATAACTAAATAAAAATAAATATATATAAATTAATGGATATAAATAAGTATACATAAATAGATAAATAAAAATTAATAGATATAAATAAGTATACTTAAATAAATATAAATTAATAAATATATATAAATTAATAAATATATATAAATAAATATGAATTAATAATTATAAATAAATATGTGTCAATAAATGTATATAAATAAATAAATATAAATAAATATATTAATATTTATAAAAAACTTTTCAAGTTGTTGTTACTAAACTTCCAAATAAAAAGAACAGATATGGATTTAAAACCAAACCCATAATGATTTCTATATAATATAACTTAGAGTACTTACATCAATTAAGTTAATAATTTAATATAAGTTAAATTAAAATTAATTATCAAGTAATAAAAAAGTTGAATTATACTTCGCAGTCGGTAGGATTCGAACCTACGCTCCCAGAGGGAATCTGATTTCTAGTCAGACGCCTTAACCGCTCGGCCACGACTGCTGTTGTTATGTGTGTCACGTATACATTTTTTTTCAGTATTGAAATATGTATTATTATTTATCATATTACGTATTCATATGTTGATCGACAAAATTTATAAATATAAACATATCAATCTTTTAAAAATTTTTTCCAAAATTTAATGTGTCCGCATGCTATGCTGTAGCATATAATATATAATATAATAATTAATTAAAATTATTATTAATTAAAACAAATTTATTGAAATATTAAATTTTTTGTTTGTTCAACGAAAATATATTTTAATTATCATTGATTAGTTTTTCGTCATCAGCGTTTGTTAGTAAAATAGTATAATTTTGTCGTTTTTAACTCATAGATTACTGTTTAATTACTCACATTCATATGGTTTTATTAAATTCGTGACTAACTGTACCAAGAAGCAGTCGTGGCCGAGCGGTTAAGGCGTCTGACTAGAAATCAGATTCCCTCTGGGAGCGTAGGTTCGAATCCTACCGACTGCGAAGTGAAAAAGTTTTTTTTATTAATTAAAGTTGAAATATAATTATAGTTGTTGTTTAATTTTTAATAGAAGAAATCCAAAATTATTAAGTAAATTTCGCAAAGTATTTTCTGTTACATTTATGTTATGTTATTTACATAGTTCTGTTAAAGCTCAACTGAAAGAAATTCATTGCTTTGAGAATGACTGGTATAAAATATAAGCTAAAAAAAAATAAGATTTGTTTTAATTCATTAAAAACTAAATTAAATCAAAAAAATTATAAAAAATTTTCAAATGTTGCTTATCGCCGCTTTTTTATTGTCTTTACTCTAATTTAAAAAAGGGTCAATTACAACAATGTTAAATGTTCTTTAAACGTTACCTTACATACTTCAAAACTTTTTAACCAAAATAGTCTCTACTGAATAGTTTTTTACATTGCAATCTCTTACGATTTAATTGTAAATCAAAAAAATTTATTTAATTTATGCGTTATGTTTGCTTACAGAATTACTTTACCGAGCTCCCGAATTATTAAGACTGGGTCCTGCATCTTTAGTAATGGGTACACAAAAAGGTGATGCTTACTCATTTGGAATTTTGCTCTATGAAATACATACACGTCATGGTCCCTTCGGTGAAACTGGTCTAACCTCCATGCAGTGTTTACAAAAAGTATTACAAGTACAGGATCTTCTATATCCATACCGACCATCACTTCAACCACTGGAAACGTCTTTTGATTGTGTGCGAGAAATATTACGTGAATGTTGGTCTGAGCGACCAGAAGAGCGACCAGATTTTAAGACAATACGTGCTAAATTACGTCCACTACGTAAAGGCATGAAACCTAATATATTTGACAATATGATGTCTATGATGGAGAAATATGCGAATAATTTAGAGGCTTTAGTAGATGAGCGTACAGATCAATTGCAGGAGGAAAAGAAGAAGACTGATGCATTACTTTTGGAAATGTTACCACGACCCGTTGCAGAACAATTGAAGAAGGGAAATAAAGTAGATCCGGAAAGCTATGAACAAGTATCAATATATTTCAGCGATATTGTCGGCTTTACAGCAATGTCCGCTGAAAGTACTCCATTGCAAGTAGTTGATTTTCTAAATGATTTATATACTTGTTTTGATTCTATCATTGGGCATTATGATGTGTATAAAGTGGAGACAATAGGTGATGCTTATATGGTCGTAAGTATTGCTAAGTAATTGTGCTAATTTTTTTTATATTACCTTCATTTTGTTTTAGGTTTCCGGCTTACCAATAAGAAATGGTGATTTACATGCAGCCGAAATTGCATCTATGTCGTTGCATTTACTGAATGCAGTTTCAGAATTTAAAATACGTCATCGACCTACAAATAAATTACTATTGCGTATTGGCATTCATACTGGACCCGTTTGTGCTGGAGTTGTGGGTTTGAAAATGCCACGTTATTGTTTGTTTGGTGACACAGTGAATACGGCATCACGCATGGAGTCCAGTGGTGTACCGCTAAAAATTCATTGTAGCTGGCAGTGCAAAGAGTTATTGGAGAAGTTGGGTGGTTATCATTATCAGGTTTGTTATTGTAAAGAAAATATATGTTTTGATTCGAATGACAATTTTTTTGTTTCATTCCGAAGTGATTAAATTCCAATAAATTCCAATAAATAAATAAAATTAGTTGTAAGATACTAATAATAGCCTTCCGCCAAAGCGAAGAAGCTAAGTTTGATCTCATGATCGATACCTTATAAAAATAAATATAGTTTGTCCATAAATTAAACAGAACATTTGTAAAATCGGGCCAATCGGACATAGAGTCATCTACTAATTTTAATGTATATCACCATCTTTGTGATCATCATCCATTTTATGTCATCCACCCTCAAAACCCTCAATAAAAAAAGGCTATACATTTATACATCCGGTAATGCTACATGACAATATATAAAGTTGTTGTCAATAGCTTGGCACATTTAACTTCAGGTGTATCCAATTCTTTGACGTGCTAAAGTTAGCTATGTTGCGGGCTTTAGATAGATTATAATGTGTTCCATTGCTCTTTAAGTCTTAGTGTATATAAAGATACTTGTTCTGGTCATCATATTTTCACGGGACACGCTTTGTTTATATATGATAAGAGTTTTTACTCAATATTTTTCGATATTTTTTTTTTTTTGAGAAGTATTTGAACTAGTATTAGACATTGTAATTATAACAAGTGTTTACAAAAAAATTTGAAGTTGATTACATTTTCTATTTTCTTACAATAGGAACGTGGTTTAATATCCATGAAGGGTAAAGGTGATCAACGTACCTATTGGTTGCTTGGCGAAGATGAAGAGGCGCGCGAAAAACGCACCTATGAACGCTCACAAAGACGTGGTTCTCGTGCTCTCAATAAATTTATACAAGGTACCATTAAACAAAATCAATCAATTAGTGATAACGGCATACGCTCATCACTGAAAAATAAAGGTTTGCCGAGAAACTCGTTAACACGTTCTTCGAGTCTAGAATCACCAAAGAAGCTAAGATTCGCTACAGGAACTCTTCTGGAACATCATAGATACCATAGGTGAGTTAAATTCAATGTGTATTTTAAATAGTTTATACATAGTTTTATAACATTTAGTGATGAGGCTTTGTTGGAAATCATAACTGATGGTACAGGCATAACTGTCAGGCGTTCCTCAGGTGCTTCCACACATTCACGTTATGAGGAGTCCACATTATCTTGCCAAAGCATTGACGATTTCACCACCTTACAACGCAAACGTCGACCTTCGTCCTATCCGACTGCCAATACGCCGCTGCTAATAAGTCACATAGAAACTTGACTATAAAAAGGTAAGATCTGATTAAGGCAATGTTTTGATTAAAAATGATTGAAAATTAATTAATAATTATTAAAGGTTACAGGAAATCTTAAAAAGATAAATTTACATAATATAGATAAATAAAATGAATACAAATAAATTATTTATGCAATTTTTTATAGTGAAAAAAAAATGCTTTTATATTATTAGTTTTTTCCATAATTTTTAATACGTGTATGTAAAATGTTTTTATATTAGATAAATTTAAATAATAATAACGAATTAAATAAAACGTTTTTAGTCAAATTTATCGAAATAAATTAATATATTTTATGTTTTAAAATTTAAGTTTTTAAATTAAAGTGCATAATTCTAGTCGAATTTTAGGAATTGAAATAATGCAAATTTATTAGTTAATAATTTAGCTTTTTAATATTTTATTTGTTATGGAACAAATTATATTATATACATATATGTGAAAAAGTCTATAGTTAAAAAAATTAATGACATTAATTATATGTGATTAAACTAGAAAAATATTTAAACTAATCTTGCTCAATATTAAAACTAAAAATTATTCAAATTGAATTATATACTTCCGAATTATATACTTAGTAAAAATTCAATAAATATTGCATTTAAAATCAAGTGTTCATTAATATATAACTGAATTATATGTAATTTATCTGTGAGACATGTAATAATATTAAAATATATAAAACTAAAATTATTATCAATGTTGTAATTAAATAAAAATATTTCAAATTAAAAGAATAATATTTCACTATTAGCAAAATTATAACTTTAATGGTAAAAAGTAATAAAAAATCGATTATAAAAAAATATATATTCAAATATTTTATTTTAAAGCAGCGTTGGTTAAATGAATGTTTTAGGTCAGACATAAAAATCTAAGAGTTGTTCTATATAATAACTGACAGTTATGCCATTAATTCTAGTTAAAAATCCAACACCATTGCATTGAAAACATTCCTTAATTATTGATCCAATGCAACCTTTCTATGAAAGTCTACGAACTGATTCGCAGCCACTAAAAGCATCCAAACAAATCTTAAATAAAACAATTATTAAATTAATTTTTAACATTGATATTTTCCTTCATTTTGACGTAAGAAACTAAATTCTTAGTATAAACTATTATTTTCAATAGCGGGGTTTTTATCTTACAATAGTGAAATTGCAACAAAAAAAATTTTGGTGTATTATTTTTAATTAGTTAGATTTTTGGCTGTTGTTGTTGTTGTAACCCGCTGGGACCTGTAAGCAAATAACACGAAAGGATATACAAGACGATTACATAGGTAAGGAAGTGGATGGGTAGTGGTTGGGGAAGATGAAGGGGGTGAGAGGATGGGGAAAGTTAGGTGAGTGGGATGAACTTGACGTTAACCTAGATCCGACCGGAGAAAACTGGTCACTTCAATGGGGCACGCCTAAAGATCAATTGGACGAAGGTTTGTGTGTGTGGTAGGATAGGAAAACAGATGGGCGATGTCATGGGAGAACAGCTGCAGTTAGGGCACACATTGGGAATAGACATGTTTATGCGTGACTCAATTTTTGACTGACCATACAGCTGTTAAGAGAATTACCAAATATCCATCCTCAGCGAACAATAAAACAATTATTTTAATATAATGCAATAAAATATATATAATTTATTAAAATTTTATATATTGTTTCCAATCATCAATAATATTTTTATGTGATTTCTTTAACAATTTTCATAAAATCCACATATTGCTTCAATTATACATAAAATAAAATATTTATCATTAGTTAGATTTATATAGGTAGGTGTCCTTTGTTTCATTTGTGTGATTTTAAAATTCTTTATTCTCAATAAAATATATTTCATTTTTATAATATTATTAGATTTATTATTATAGAACAATGTATATTATTTTATTCCAATATATATTGTGGGTTAAATTTTTTTAAATGCTATTTTTGCTTTTTAAACAATTACTAATCAACAAAATGCAATTGCTTATGCTTTTCTATATTATATATATACATTTAATCCAATTATATAATTTTAATGCAAAATATATATAAATACTTTTTTCTTATATATTGAGGCCATTTTAAGCTATAAGCACACTTCTTTTGTTCAACAATTTATTCTAATAAATTTTAAACTTAACATATATTTATAAACGTTTATTGCTCATTTTTATTATAGTTTGAGCATTTTTTATTGTTTTAGTTCTCAAAATAATTAAGCAATTATTTTTAAAAAAATTTTTATATCGGTTTTAATAAAAATGTAAAAAATTATTTATTATATACGCAACAATAATATATTTAACAACTTCTACGGCTAAAATTCAATACTAAACAATTATGTTTCATTTTAAGCAACTTATCAATGCTGTTTATAAAAATAAAAAATTTAAAATTACTTATTTTATTTATTCACTAATCGCTTGGGTATCTAAAATTTCTTTCGTATTTACTACGCATGGTATAAAAATATCCTTAATTTAATAATTTTAAAAATCCAACATTTTTAATTATTTTTGTTTTTTTTTTTAGAGAAAAACTTTGTAACAATTTGTGCTAATTATATATTAAATAGTATTTTCTATTAACAATATTTATATATAAATTTATTCGTTTTTATATATCTCATATGTGGTTGCATTCAAATTTCAACAAATTTTTAATAAAATTTTAAAAATATTTGAAACCAATTAACTTTTATTTTTAAATGTACAACAAATTTAATTTTTCTTCTTAAATTTGATATCTCTATTTTAAACTTTAATAGAAACAACACATTATATTAAAAATATTTAATTATTTAAATCAAAAAATCAATTGTATTTTTAACAAATAAGACAATTAAAAAATTGGGGTTCGAAAATTTTTTTTAAAATAATTTAAATAAATTTTTTTAAAAATAATTCAAATAAATTTTTTTATAAATAATTAATTCATTTATAGTTTTAATGAAATAAAACAAAATATGAAATTTTGTAGAGTACTAAAATAATAAAAAAGCAATATATAATATCTACACATTTTTTAAATTTTATATGGTTTTAAAATAAAACAAAAATACAAAATAAATAAAACCAACACTAAAAAGGAACACAAAATATGAAAAAACTCAAAAATAATAAAATAAAAATAATGATATCTAAATAAATAAATGTATTATAATAAATAAATATAACAATAAATAAATATAATAAATAAATATAATAATAAATAAATACAATAACAAATATATATAATAATAAATAAAAATAAAAATCTTATGTAATTTAATATAGAATTTTATATGGTTATGAAATAATAAAATTAAATATTACATTTTTGTCATTAAAAAAAAATAAAACAAAAACATAATATAAAATTTTATATAATTTTAAAATAATGAATTAAATAATAAATAAGTAATATATGAAACTCACATTTTTAAAATTAAAATATTTTATATAAAATTTTTTATGATAATAAAATAAACTATAAAATTTTATGTAATTTCATTAAAATAATATAAAAATTTTAATATTATATAGTTTTTAACTTCGAAAGCATGAAGTATTTCTTCCTTTAATAAAGAAAGTATGTCAGACATTTTTATTAGAAATTTGTTAATATAGTTTTCCAATATTTATATAATACTTAATATATATTTTTTTTATAACATTCATTTGATATTTATCAATTAATTATAGTTGGAATTGTACAGAGTTGATTGCTTAGTTTAATGAGGTGATATTGCGGTATTTTAAAAAATATAAATGAATTAAAATTAATATGACATATTTCAAATATGACAAATTTTATATCTATACATATGAGCAGATATTTAGGTATTCTCCATAAAATAATCAGTTTATATTATTTATGTTTTTAGTATAACATATCATATTATTTCAAGTAATTGGTAAAAGCTTTACATAATTTATTTGATATATATAAATAAATAAATAATAATACAAATATAAATAATTTTATATAAAAATAAATAGTTTTACAAGGATATCGGTATTACATATTTATAAACAATATTTATAAGAATAATTCATAATATGTATAAAAAATATTATATATTTATATTCTCCTATTATAATTTGATATAACACAACTTAACCAAATATATTTCTAATAACAATTTTTAAAAAATATATTATTTATAACATAACAGAGGTATTTTACTGTAACTCTGTAATCAATAAAGTGATAAAATAATAAACTTTTAAACGCATCTGATATTATAAAAGCTAGAGATGACTTTAAAAATTAATCTACATTCATCGACTAATTTTTTCCACACAATATTCTTTTTTTTCAATACAACAAAAAAATAATTTTCTTATTAATTATAAAATGAAATCAATAGCATCAACGGAAATGAAAACGTTTTTACAATCTTAAGTTTGCCATTTTCCATAATAAAATTAAAATTATTGAACGTTGCAATAACACTCCATATGAATGTTAGAAGGAGTACTGCTCCATACGTATAGATATTTAAATATATTAATAAAATTACTGAAAAATTATATATAGCAAAAAATACTACATAAATAAATAATATAAAATAATAAATAAAATAAATAACATAAAATAATAAATAAAATAAATAATATAAAATAACAAACAAAATAAATGATATAAAATAATAAATAAAATAAATATAAAATAAATAATATACTAAATACGCTAAATTTACAATTGTGTATTATTAAAATAAAATTAATATTTTTTTAATTATTTCAGAATTAATATTTCAGTTTCGCTATGCTTGATCTTATTTTTATGTAAAGCACAAATAAAAAATTATTTTATTTTATACTTTTTTCACTTATATCTTTACTTAGCAAAAAAAAAAAAATGGCTCTTCTATCATTTGATTTGTGGTAATGTGTTTTCTATAAAAAATATATAAATAAAACTGTAGAACAAATTTTGTGAAATAAAAATAAATATATATTTTTTTTATAGTTTTAATCACTTATTATACATCTTTACTTAGTAAAAACAAAAAATAAATACAACTGTGCGCCTTTCATTTAATTTGTGATAATATTTTTTCAATATAAAATATATAAATAAAACTAGTAAAATAATTTTTGTGCAAAACAAATATAAATATATACTTTGTTTTATAGTTTTGTTCACTTAATATTGTTTTAATCATCTATTTGTAAAGATATTATTTACGTTTAAATTATAGAAATCAGAATACCAGATATAAATTTTTATATATATGATTAATTATTGTTAAAAAACTTATTGCAACAGATTTAATAACAATTATAGAGTAGAAATTATAAATATATATTTATGTTATATGTTAATAAATTTAAAAATAACACACGATGTTTTTAGAAAAACTAAAAAAAATTATGAATATAAATTATATATATAAGCAATACAAATTATTGAATTTAAATTAATTTATATAAGAAAAAATTAAGAAATAAATATTTTATGTATTATGATATGATAACGTTTTGGTCGGTGTTTTTCAGCAGGTCATAGTTGTTGTGTTGTAAATATAAGTAATCTTTAAAATTTATTTAATTTTTAATTACTAATTTTGTTTTCATCTTATAGTATATATAGTATGTATATATAAAGTATATATATATTTGTGTTGATGTGTTTTTAAAGCGTTGGATTTGGTTAATAGAGTTTTAAAATTTTTTAACAATATTATGAAAATGCGAAAATAATTTCTTAGTCTAGAGGAAGAATTAGGTTGCATTATAAAAGTTTAGAAACTAAATTTTAATTGCAAGTGTAGAGTTTTAAGATTTTAGAAATCGTAATTGCTTTTCAAATTTTCAAAATTCCATTATGAATATCAATTCATAATATTTTAAATAGTAACAATACTTTAGTTAAAAAGCTTCTTAAGCTTTTATATACAAAATACTTTTGTTTTTGTTTTCTCATTGACGTCATTCGCGACTATTCAAAACAACAAAAAAAAACAACAGACAAAGTTTTTCCAACATGGATTTTCAATTAAAATGAAAAATCGTTCAATTTCAATGTGAAATTAAGAAAATGCATTAATCATTTACGCACAGCTCCGTATCCAATCGTTTCATCTTTGCTTCTTAACTAAACTTGTCGATCTGTAATATAGAAAAAAATTACTTTATTAAACTGTCGAAGCATATTTCCTTAATAAGCTTATTAACAACATCTATTTATAAAAACAATTTAGATTTTATATTTCATGCATTCATTTTATTTTAGATGAATGACGCTAAATATAGGCTGTTGTTGTTGTTGAGGCCCGTGGAGATCTTTACAGCAGATAACATGAAAGGAATTATAAGTATGTATACATGGGTTAGAATCTGTTTGAGTAAAGAAAATGTGACAGGAAAGGGTAGGACTAAATAGAGTACACAGTCCATGCTCTAGAGGTGTGCTATATATGATTTCAAGAAAACATCTCTGTACTATTTATTTAGTAATATTCTATGATGACATATATGTATTTAATATTTAATTAAATAAATCTTTTGTACAATAAAATTGCGGGTTAATTAATCAATATACATAAATACAATATTCGGTATATAAATTTTATAAATGTAAACAATATATATACAAATAATATATATGCAAGTATGCAGAGTACTTGAATTTGAGGACGTGGACACAATTCTGTCATTTCAAAAAAAAAAAAAAATTATTTCGTACCTTATAGAGTAATTTACCTGAAGCCTGGAATATCTCCTTTATATATGTTTACTGTTAGTATGCGTTTTAACCGATTTTGCCCCAGCGGTAACTTAAGTTACTAGCACTTTTGTCAAGCATTTGGTCTATCAATACACCAGAAATAGTTAGTCTAATGGATTTATTTTGTTTTTTGGTGTATTTAAAATAAAAACAATTGGGACGAAATTGGACTAAAGTTGTTATTTCATAAATGCAGTGCAAAATCATAGAGTTCCAAATAGCGAGCAATTTTAAATCGATTTTATTAATTATAAAATCAAATAATGTAAATGAAATCATTACAATTTCTACTAGTAAATTTAAAATATTTTAAAATACATAAATAAAAATTTTCGATAAGTATTTTAAAAAATCGAAGTATAAGAATAAAAATCAAACGTAATTTTAGTTACTAACGGGCCGAGGTTACCATCTCAGAGTTAATGAGCTACTAGTTCCATTATAAATAGAATATATATACGGATATATTAATAGTGTTTGATATGGTTACTTATAATGATCTACTACAAGAAAAACGTTTATATTTCAAAACAAAATACCACTTATCGACGGAACAGACGTGAATATAAAAATATCTAAGATTATTTCATACACAATGACTGTAAACTAAATGATAAACGGCACTGGGTCGTCGAATTTGACGAATGGTTCTGAGTAGTAGAATTGTACGTTCTTGGAAAGACTATGATTCGATTTACTTAAATATATTAAGATAGAAACAGTTTGATATAGAAGTGCTTCTCACTAACAAACACTTTTTCCTTTCAATGGAATCTAATTGTAAAAGACTTCAGATTATGTTAAGTAGAAAAGTTAATCGGTAGCTTGTATATTCGAGTGGCAATATAATTATATGGATATAAATTTATTAGACAGAAAGACTAATAACTAGTGTAATGGAAAAGTTCTCTAGTACTATCGGGAAACTTCTTAGCGTTTCCAAATGAAAATGGTTTAATGAGTAGATAATGTATAGGATTAAGTTAACATATAATAAATATTAATACACAAGGCCTTAGATATATTATATATCCACAAAATTTTTATAATTCCTTAATGGGAAAAATAAGCGTTACGGAACAGAGCTGTTTTGTTCCAAAGCAGATGCAAAAATAGATGAACACACAAAATAGCTTTGCTAAGCCAACTTATTCCACATAGCTTATTTATTAAGGTTGATCGCTTATAAGACCAACAATTAGAATGATGTTTTCAAACAAATAATAGAGCAAAGTACTAGAAGATTAAGGCGATAATTGCTTAAAATACCAAATCGAGCGCAAGGATACTAGACAGTAAGATGCTCAAAGCTTCAATAATGTTGTCTACGAAGCACTACTTTGAAGTAAGATGATATGGTAAGATCTAATGTTATGTTTATCTTCACTTTTTGTAAGTACATTTACGAGATATTTTATATTGCAATGTAGAGATATCACAGTGATTCCTAAAGGTGCACTAGAATACACCTTAAACGCTTATATTATTAAATTTAACAAATTAAGCAATTATTTATTCTATTCTCTATGTGATAATAAATTTTAAAGTCATTGTTACGATAAACCACATATAAACGATACACAAATGTCTCAGTAAGTGACATTATATATAATATTACCTTCTAACACCAGATCTAGGACTAACTGGTGGAGTGCGAGCAGGAGACGGAGGTGCAGAGCTGCCAGATGAACCGCGAGATGACAATGAAAGTGTAGAATTGCGTGGTGCTGTACAGCCTAAATAAATAGCTGAACCTTTATCGCTATCACGTAAATCAACACGAGAACCATGGACGGATGATGGAACAGAGCCTACCGTACCTGTATATGAATGCAAACCAGCAGGGCTACTGCGTGGACGTACACCTAAACCACTAATTGTGCTAGCACTACGTTGTAAGTGTGTACCTCCTTGTTCATCACTGGTAATACAGCTGCTGCCATTTGTTTTTTCCGAATTTTGTCGTGTTGTATTTGCAGTTTTTATTGAGGTCGTTGTTGTAGTTAACCGAGATCCAGCACTTCGAATACGTGGTGATCTTGTTGGAGAGTTTTCTAACATTTCTTGTTTTTCATTTTTTGATGCAGTTATTGCTGCTGCATAAGCTGCAGCTTCCGTTGAAGTCGTTGGACTTAAATTAGTTTCTTCATCTTCAGGTATTTTTTGTTCGCCCAGAGAAAGTCGTATTGCCGGTGAGTGATTCGGTGAGGTCGGACACGATTGTACGCTGGCTGCTAAGCCAGTTAAACCAGCAGCGGTGGTAGAAGTAGTTGAAGATGATTGTGTTAGTAGACGTGAACGCGTCGATGCAGAGGACGGTCTACGTCGAAAAAGACCTTTAGCGGGGTCCATATTACAAACACCTAAAGAAATTAAGATATTTTTTAGATATTCAGGGCAATATCTATTTTATAAATAAATCACATTTCTAATTTTAAAAAGTAGTTGCAGTCATTAAATTTAATGATAAAACTAAGGGTAGTTTATTACTTCAAAGAGTATTTATATGCTTAATAAATTAAATAATTAAGCATACCAAATAAATAAATATACTTTAATTGAAATGTTAGGTTTATATAGCTAGTTTTTATTTTCTTATAATATTAACAGTAATTTCAAGAGGAAAAAGAATTTAGAAAAAAAAATATTTTTCATTTCGTTAAAAAATTTATTCAAACAAACATGAAATTAATAAATATACTTCAATTGCGATTATTATTATATATAGCTTTTTAAATTTAAGATATAACGTTATAGTAACTTCAGAGTTAACTTAATGGATATATATAAATATATATAAATGTTCGGGCTTATAATTACAATTTAAAGTTGTTAAAAATTAAAAAATACAAGCTCCTTTACTGTACGATTTAAAATAAGTCTTCTAATTAAAGCAGATGGAAAGTTAACTTTTTTTATAATTTAATCAATTATATAAATAAAAAATAATTTTACTGACAATGTGACAATGTATCACAAATTTCTTATTATAATTTCTTATTATAATAATCTTTTATTTCTTCGATATTTGCAGTGTAAAGTACACAGTTATTCATCAGTTCTAACCCGCCAGGTTCTATAGGAAGCAACGCTTCTAGAAATTTTTTTGAAGTTTTTCTTTTTCCAATTAAGTTGCTTTGTGAGGCATTTTCATTAACACCGAATGTTATATCATAAGCCATACCATCTTTATTTTCATTAGTATTCATGACAATGCCCGTTTCACAACTTTTCATAATTTTACAATCGACACAATCACAATTTTTGTTTTCAATACCTGTTGGACATTTTTCACTGCGTGCACAATTTCCTTCACAAATGTCCTTCTTTTTTAACAAAGTATCATGTAATTCTAATGCATCTACACACTTGCTATAATCCAATTGTTCAAGTGCCAGTGATGGAAAACGTTCACGCAGACGACGCCTCTCCTCAATCAAGCGAAACGCTTCAAATTCATTTAATTGTGCTTGAAAACCAGTATTTGGATTTGCAATCGCGCGTCCAGCTCTAACTACTTTTAAAGCTTCCTTCCAAGTTAAATTTGTTGCGGTCATTATGTATGCAACAGCAACTGTTACCGAACGAGACATGCCCGCCAAGCAATGTATAAGTACATTGCCTTCACGTAAACGTGCTGCATGTATAAAATCATTACAAACTGAAAAATATTGTGACAAATTCTGATCCGGTGTATCTGCCGCCATGACGCACAAATAATGTTTGTCCTGCATTTAAAAATTATTTATTGAATTAATTTAGATGAATATATTGAAACCAAACTAGTACTCACTGGCAGCAATCGCCTAGGACTGTCATGTATGGCTACTATATGCGTTATTTGAAATTTATCCAATTGTTGTACGTCCTTCGAGTCCCTGTAATTTCCCACGTATAATCCAGGCAACACCTAAATCAAAAAATAATTTTATTTTACTTTTACTACATAAAAGGGTTTATGTTTTAATTTAACAACTTTCCAAATCCAATTCTACAAGCCATTTTTTACTATTAGGCATATACTCTTCTACGTAAAACTTAAAAATATTAATATTAAAGAACACAAACAAGAATTTAAAATCGACTAAAAATAATGATTTTTCGCCAAACGTCATTGAAACGTCATAAGAACTGTCAAAAATCGTACAGCGAAGTGTGCGCAAAGGAAGAAGTCAAAACAAATATTTTGAACTGTCAATTTTTTTTATAAATATTTCATTTAATATTTTGGAGCGCAAATAAAACATAATATGTTCTTTATATATTTAATATATTAATTTATATAATTTATTGTTATATTAAAACAAATAAATTATGCTTATGTTAAATTTGTAAAGTATATAAAAATATTTATAACATGCTTCTATGAATGAATAATTTTTCTTGTAAAATTAATGAGTAAAGTTATTTAGAAGAAATATATTTATATAACTTTTAGTACATATATATTTTAGATAATAACCGATTCTAAATGTAATATCTTGTACATGACATGAAATACATAATACATTCAAACATAGTTTTAAACAATTTATATGTTTGTAATTCTGTATATTTCCGAGACGTTAATTATTTATTAACAAATTCATAATTATTAATCCTAAACCCATAACATATAATTATTTATATAACTTACTTTGTTCATTCCATTCCCCATATTGCTTCATATATATTGCTCAGTCACTCTCAGTGCTATGCTCTCTCCGATTAAAAGATATAATCTGTAATAAAAACAAGATAGAACTATTAAAATTTCTTACAAAATAAATCTGACTTTTTTATCTCAGAATACAGGATAAGATTATTAATAACTGCATTTTACAAGTTAAAAAATAATAAAATATTTTTTGAATAATATGTGTTGACACTTAAGTATTGCTAATTAAACAATATCTATATATATAAATAATAATATCTATCACTTATCACTTATAATTATTTATAAATTGTAAAATTAAATAACTCTTTTCAGTGAAATAAATTTTATTTTTGCAATTAATAACAATTTTGTTTCTTTGGAACACATCTAAACACCAAAAGTGATTGATGTTATGGCGCGCAGTTTAAAACTGTGAACTCTACACAGAAACATAGTGCTTCATCGTTCGCTGCTGATTAAACAACTTTGTTATTTTCTGTATATTGATGCACGATGCTGGTTTGGACGATTAACACATTTTGTAGTTTCCGCTGTGTAATTATATTTTCATATGATATAATAAAATGCGCCACAAATCTCTAACAACGCATAAAAAATGTCAAACTTTCATGTATATAAAATAAGTTAATATTTTTGAAAAAACAATCATGAATCTTAAAGTCAAGCAATAATCTTTATAGGCTACTCAATAATCATTTGTCATAAGAAATCGAACTATATTAAATTCCAACAATAATTAAAACAAAAATAGAAGTTTCGGCTATTGCCATTTTTTTATTATTTTATATTGTAGAAACAATTAACACTTAAGTGCTAAAACAGCTTACACTAGGTTTTATTGAACTAACTTTAGAGAAACTTTAAGTTCATGGAACTTATAACACGTTATGCTATTTGTGGAACTAAGCGAAAACCGTTTAAAATTCCGCAATAACCCGTTATTTTTAAATACGCTATTTTCAAATAATATGTAATATGCTAGGAGTAGTGATGTAAAGATTACGATCTGCAGATTATCACAATTAAGTTAGGTACAAGCAGGAACTTTCTACTTTAAACAATCATGATATAACGGTTGTATATTTATTCATTCAGTGTTTGAAAATTAGAAATATATGTTGTGGTACAAATACAATAAGTGAAAAATAATTAACGCTTACGTGAACTATTCCTATGGCTCTAGGAATGAAATAGCACGTATTCATATATAAACTTTGGTGCTCAGCTCCTTTCATTCGCACCACTCCATAGATTCTGATCAGTGTGAAGTTATCAAAAGTAGAGTACTGTGAACAGTTTATTCGATTTATACCATAATAATAATTGAATATACTCTTAATATAGATAAGACTTCTATATACTCTTATTTAATATATTTTAAAATTATAGCAATTGAACAATTGAGGTTTGAGCAGTTGAATAGCTCTCTCAAGAAATTTCTCCTTCCTATTCCTAAAGATCGAATTACAAAAAAATTATTGTAAGAAAATGTTTAAGAGTATAACTGGTTTATTTTGGCACTAAAGATACAAATTATATGGGATGCCAAAACTAGTACCAGAGTACCTTAAGTTTCCTCAAAATTAACATATATAAAGAATCAGGTCTGGATCATGTCGGAAGATGTGACATGAACTTAGCAGATAAATTTATCAGGAAACAAATAGTATCTCTGTTTAAAGGTACAAAACCTACAAATAAATAACCAAAATGAATTTAAGAATCATTAGAGATAATCTGAAAGGACAGTATAGTTTGAATTAACATCTTACAATGCTATGAAATTATTTTAATGGATGTTATAAATTTTGTATGTAAAGGAATAACACCTCACCCGCATTTTATGCATTTATGCATATAAGCAAACTAAATACCAAAATGGGTTTGATTGTACAACTGTTAAGAAAATTGAACTCGGAGAAAAACTCGGTCGCAATTCAAAATCATCTCAGTTCAATAATTCTATATATTATCTCTTATTTAAGAAAATCAAACTCGGAGAAAAACTTTGAATCCATGAGGAAGACGCTATAGATCTCTAGGTCGCAATGCAAAATTATCAATTCTATACACATATTATTTCTTATTTAGTCAATAAAATATAATAAAAAAAGTTTTCATTTTTAAAGGCTTTTAATTTCATGCTCCTGGTTTATGAATAATGTTTCAGTGATATATGTCAAATAAAATCTTTTTATATATTTTTTATCTGGAACAGTGACAGTAACATTCGAAAAACCACTGCATCAACAAAAACTTACTGTTTAGTGTGGATTTTGGTCTGCATGAGTAACAGGTGGGCACTTATTTGGAAATGACGAAATTGAAATATAAGTTGTTAATTCTGTACACTGCAGCTAAATAAATGGTAATTTTTTTTGCCATAAAAGTAAAACCAGGGATATGAAAGATATGTGAATGCGGTGTCACAGGTCACATAACATGTCCTTGCGTGAAAAATTTTCCGGATGTGTAATATCACGTTTTGATTATTAAGATCATAAAGATTATTTATTTTGTCATCACTGTAAGTTTCTTGTGAGGTTACTCAAAGGATCGGGTTCGCGAACAATTCTTAAACGGTTACCGCTTTGAAAATGAATATCTGCCAAGTTATGGCCAAACTATTACCGGATATGTGCTGATAAGTGATCGAAAATAATGTCAAAATTGTCTGTTGGTACTGTATGACGTCCTTTGGAATTTAATAGAATGATATCGAATCAAACATCTAATCAGAAGGTTCAAAGTTAAATATTATAAAATAAATATTTATTCTCAATCATTGGCATTATCATGCTTTTAATGTACTTTCGGTACTTCTAAATGGATAACCCTGAAAAAGTTGAATGTTGTATTAAAATTGTATAATAGATATTAAACATATCTTCATATCATTCACAATACTTTTAATTTCGATATATTACTCCATATTTAAACGCAGAGAGTATGTCCTACAATCTAGTATTTTATTAGTTATGAATTGTTTGTGATCCAATGTCAACAAAATAACAGTTTTAGCTATTATTAAATTAATTGTTCTTGTGGCAAGAGAGATATGCCAGAAGTGGATAATCTATTCAAGCACTTTAATAACAATTCATGGGGACAATGCCAGCTAAGCAATTGAAATTCTTTTTGAATAAAAAGCAATTTACTTTCGTACCATTTTTCACATGTTCAAAGCATTGAAGTCCTTGAGATGGCAGTGTCGAAATTAAATTAAATTTAGGGGAAATAATGTTATAACTCATATAAATAAAATAAAAATAATTTGAATACTGAATACTGAATAGCAAACAAATCTTTCTGGAGCACTAAAATTTAAATTTATTGCCTCCATGCAACACTCCTTCTTCTCGGCCAACGTGCAAGAGAATTGCTATTCCTACTAGAATTGCTATTAGTACGTTTATGTGATTGTGGTACGAGTATGACGTCAGTACGAGTGCTTTTGACTTTGACCTACAGTTTTTACTACAGATGCACCCACTAACTGGCTCTTCAGTCTACTTTACTCGTTATGGTCTAAATGTATGCAATCAAAATTTGTTGGCACTGAAACCTGCATTTCTGTTTTTGACAATACTTTGCGCCTGTGTTCAGTTAATACTCGCCAACATTGACATTGTTGTTGTTGTTGTTGTTATTGTTGCATATTTAAATTGTAAACAATGTTTACATTGCTTTGACAGTGACAACGACAATAAAAGCCAACAACAACAACGTTAAAATAAATATTGTTTGTTTTTTTTTATATTCAATATATAAGAGAACATACATATCAAATATATATTCAGTTGTGCTCTATGAAATAAGGAAAACATTGTTGACTTTTAGGCGCATGGAAAAACCTGCTTTGTTTTATTGTTGAGTTATTATTAAAAAATAAAACAAAAGCTAAATAGAAAAGGCAAAATGTAAACAAAAACCAAATTGCTTGCTGACTCAACAGTTTGTTGGCTGCTGCTCTACTTATTGCTCGTTAGTGGAGAGCTCGTAAGATTAGAAGTGTAAGCCAAAACGGAATTAAGCGAATATCAAATAGAAAGGCATGAACTCTTAACAGGACTCGAAGGTTGAGTAGACTTAGAATATGCAAAAGAGAACCAATATCTTTTAATTAAAATTTTAGTTAGTAATTTAAAATTTGCACATAAACAACGATTTTGATATTACATTGTCAGTTAAGTAGTTTTTTTCCTAAACAAATTCTTTATAATGGTTTTTATGTATTTTTTAATCCGGCTATAGGTCCCTTTTTGTTAAATAATTCTACGTTTAATATTTTTTATTATATTTTATATTTCGGTTTTCCTTGAGAGTCATCAACAGGATCACGATCTAACATAAATTAATATTACTAAAACTGTATATACGTCATCCTCTTTATTCTATCGTCTATATTGCATATGTATATTATTTATATATACACAAGTTGTAATTCTCCGATGGACTATAGGATCTGGGCATACCTTATTCAATTTTAACTGTTTCCAAATAAAATTTTTAAAATTCTTGCA